AGCAAGTGATCCTCTCTGAGCAGCTTTCAGCCCTAGTGCTAACGTGCTGCTGAAGCAGCCAACATCAGGCTCTCCTCCCCGAAAGTGGAGTGCCAGTGTCCCTAGTGGAAGGCCACATGTGGTTGGTGTTGGTGGATCGCTCCTGCTCTCCAGTTTGTCTGTGGGCATCGTGGATCTTCTTGAGTATGTGGCTAGTTGAACCCGTCAAGAACCTACTCCGGTTTCCATGTTGAGATTTTCTAGTGGCTAGTTTGAACGGTGAGTTTCTTAAGATAGCAATCATGATGAGTTGAGCTGTTAATAAGCTGTTCAAGAAATAATAATGATCATCAATTGGGAACTTGTTGCTGACTTGCAAGAATCTTGCCACACGCTGAGAAAGTGAATGTGATGCACAAGGTGACCTCAATCAGACTAGACTTGCTGAATTTTCACTCCATTCTACCACTCATCTTGCCAAGCCCACTCAGCTCAGAGCCCAGCAAGATACAACTCTATGTAATATTGGTGAATGGGGAACATCATGAGGCATTACAGTGAGTTAGTACTGAGCACTGGGTGGCATGGTGACTCAGTGGTTTGTACTGCTGCCTCACAGCACCAGGGACCTGGGTTCGATTCCATCCTTGGGTGACTGTCTGTGCAGAGCTTATACATTCTCCCTGTGTCTGCGTGGGTTCCCTCTGGGTGCTCCAGTTTCCTCCCACAGTCCAAAGATGAGCAGGTTAGGTGGATTGGCCATGCTAAATTGCCCCGTTGTGTCCAGGGATGTGTAGGTTAGGTGGGTTAGCCATGAGAATTACAGGGATAGGGTAGGGGGTGGGTCGGGGTGGGATGCTCTTCGGAGAGGCAGTGTGGACTGAATGGTCTGCTTCCATGCTGTAGGGATTCTATAACACTTGATACAAAAATTCAAAACTGACTTAAAGTCTGTCAGATGCATGTGTTGTACAAAGATGCTGTTACAATAGACATTGTAATGGAGTTAACCTGAGTTCCACAAACTCCAGTCCATCTATATTTCTTACACCTACATCTATTCCTCTACCTTAGATCTTGCTCAGTCCTTGGCAACCTCTACTGATTCCCATTCCCTGGTGCAGTAAAATCAAAATTCTTGTCCTTCACTAGGGGAGGCAATGGCCTAGTTGTATTATCGCTGGACTGTTCATCCAGAGATCCAGGTAATGTTCTGGGGACCTGGGTTTGAATCCCACCATGGCAGCTGGTGGAATTTGAATTCAATAAATATCTGGAATTAAGAATCTAATGATGACCGTGAAACCATTGTCGATTGTCGGAAAAGCCCATCTGGTTCACTGATGTCCTTCAGGGAAGGAAACTGCCATCCTTCCCGGTTTGGCCTACATGTGACTCCAGACCCACAGCAATGTGGTTGAATCATAACTGCCCTCTGGGCAATTAGGGATGGGCAATAAATGCTGGCCTAGCCATCAATGCCTGCATCCCGTGAATGAATAGAGAAAAAAGTGGTAACTTGGACGTCTGCTACAAATGGTTGTGGGGTTGACATCCTTTTCACATCTACTTCAAATTGGTTCACCCGGAGTTTGTAATCCCCATATTCTGATAGATGTGTGGATTTTAATATCACTGGCTCAGATAAGCCCTAAAACAAAATCCTTTGATTGAATGGTAACCCCTCCTACTATCTCTCCTTTGATTGAATGTTGCTCACATCCGCCATCTGGTGCAGGCCCATCATCAGTGCAGCGTGATTTGAAAAGTATGGAAGCACATACATCCGAGTAAGGATATTTCTGTTTACTGAATAGAAGCAGCTTTAACAATTAAATAAGATGAACAAATAATTGCACGATCACTGAGGGGGAAACATTGCGAGAGTGGATGAGGGTTCAATTGATTGTCCAAGCAACTGAGTCACAAAGTTTTTCTGAGGTGCAAATGTCCATGTAAATGTGGAGTTGATAGGGATTTTTCCAACTCCTAGTACAGATATCCAAATTATTGTCTTTTGTTACAAACCTCTCCAAGGCCTGTCAAAAGTAAAGTTTTCTACGAATGGCTTCTAAATTGTTATCCATTGAAAATTGAATAATCTGGAGTTTGGACTTTCTAATCCAATGGTTGTGTGGATGTTAGCACCACAGTAGGGAAAAGCTAAGCATCTGTGCTTTCTGTGGGGGTGTATTTATTCTGTCATCTGCCCTCACCCTGCCCACAAAACTGAGATGCAAGCACATTCACAGAGGGGAGAACCAGTCAGGACTACTGAGTATGGGAACAGGTTTACAGAGATCCAGGGTCCAGAAACAGCAAGGAGTTTACACTGGGAGTTGGTGTTCACCTGCCCTGTGTGGGGAAGGGATTATCCATCTTGTGCAGCCTCCAGATACAGAAGAGTTCACACTGTGCAAGACTGTTCACCAAAGTGTGTGTGGGAAGGGATGATTTTGTTCATCTGTCTTCTTTGCTCAACAGCTTATTCACTCTGATAAGAGACCATTTAAATGCTGTTAACTGTAAGAAGAGTTTTAGAGGCATTGTTCTGAGGAAGTGTCATACCAGACCTGAAACATTAACTTTGTTTTTCCTCTCCACAGGTGTTGCCAAAACCTGCTGTGTGTCTTCAGCATTCCATGTTTGTGTTTTAGAAGCTGTTACTGTCATTATATCTGTAGCCTAATAATTACAAACCATGCCTTTGTAACTTTAGTTTCCCTTGTGCCCTTTGTGTGCATATTTTAGCTGCCACTCTAAACTGGAGCTCATCATTTCTGTTTCCACATCTTTCTCTCCATTTTTTACTTATGCACTGCAGAAATTCATCAAAGATCCTTAGATAGCACCTGTCACAGCCATGATCACTACATCTAGAAGGACAAGGGCAGCAAATACATGGGAATACTACCATGTTCCAAGTTCCCTTCTAAGCTATTCACCATCCCTGACTTGGAAATATATTGCTATTCCTTCAAAATCCTGGATTTCCCTCCCTAAAGGCCTTGCGGGTCAACCTACAGAAAATTGATGGCAGCAATCCAAGAAGGCAGATCACAACCACCCATTTCAAGGGCTTCTAGGGACAGCCAATATATAAAGACTAGTTCAAAATGACCATTGCCAATGGTTTCAAAACTCCATACAGTTTACTAATGCCTGGAGGGAAGGAAATCTGCCCTCCTTACCTGACTGGCCAATGTGTGACTCCAAACCACATTGCAATGTGAATGATTCTTCACTGGCCTCTGAAATAGTTGACCAAGCTATTTGTTCAAGGCAGCTAGGGATGAGTAATAAATGAATGCCAGCCTTGCTTGTGATGTCCACTTAGCAAACAAGAATGAGGAAAAAAAACTGAACATGCAAAAGCCCAACTGTCCAGTATTGGGCCCTCCATTCACTATACATCTGGACCTACCATTCTGGTCAACAGCACCTCAAAGTTTGATGCCCTGTCCCCATTAAAAACAAAATACTTTCTCTCACCTTGGCTGTTCCTCTGGTATGACCCTCCTCTGATTTTTAAAATTCATGGATTGCAGTTATGAGTGAATATGATTGACAACTGGTTTAGCCATTCACTGTCAGTTCTGACTGGACTACCTAATATACTGCTTTCACTTATAAAAACTGCTCAATATTCAAGGATCATACTGAACTGTAAACATAACCTGTCACTAAGCTGTTCTTGCAAACTACCATTCCATTTCTAACTTCACATTCCTCTCCAAAGTCCATGAACATGCTGCCACTTTCCAAATATGCTTCTTCTAGACCTATGTTCAGATTTCGAAACTTGGCACAGTATCCTTACCGATTTTATGAAAATCGCAAAACAACCTGATCAAGACCAGGCCGATCAAGACCATTGTAAACTAAACCTTCTCATTCTTCCCATCTTGCTTGCAGCCTCATGTACAGATGACATCATCCTCCTCCAAAGCCTCTCCACTCCTATCCAGTTGGGTAGGATTGTACTTGCCATTCTTAGCTATTCATTCATAGCCAGCGAATCACCTGCAATAACTTTTCTACCCGCTCCTGCTCTGTTCCGTCAAAGAGCTATTCTTGAACCCTTCTATTTCTCATCTACATGCTGTCCCTTGGCAATATCATCTATATCCGTTTCCATATGACATCCAACACTATCGTATCACCATCTCTCTTGCATTCTTTTTTATTTAGAAAACTACCAGTAAGAAAATCATACTTGCCAGGCTCTAACAAATTAATCCTTTAATAACTGACAATCCTAATCTTGCTGACTTTGGTGAATGTTTCAGGATGGGTTAATATAAAATGGAGTTAGGATAATACCTGAAGCACTCACATATAGTGGCATAGCAGTTTGTCTTATGAATACTTAGATTTGCCAGTTTCTGTCTCCAGCTTAAAACCCTTTTTAAAACATAGTTTATAGGAATGCAAAACAAAATTATTCAGGAAAGTGATTGCCAATCCTTGACCCATCAGGCTTTCCTAATGTCTAAACAGTTTACAGTTGAAGGTTTTCATAGCCACTAACAGTTTTCAAAGATGATAAACCAAACTGACAAAGCTGTCAAACATCTACAGTAGAAAAGTTCTTAACTACCCTCACACTAAGTTTGTTCATTTTGCTTACTCTTCTATATCAACTCATATAAAAGGAGGCTCACTGTAAATTAGATATGGCAAGAAAGAACTTGGATAAAAGACTTTATTGCAGTTATGACTCAGAGGCAGAGAGGATGATTTACAATACTCTGCTTTTTATATCAATCTACTAAGAAGATAAGTTACTGTGGTTCCAAGATGACAAAAATGCAAATGATAACTCCTTTGAAGGAATATAACACAATCCATATCGTTAAGTACTGTGCTACTGATAGCTCTTGTTAAATCATTACTTCTCATAATTCCAAGAATCTCTTAAGTGCTTTACAGTCAATAAAGTACCATTGCAATGTAGAAAGCTATAATATTCAGTAGTTTCTAAACACGTGCTACACCAAACGAAATTCCTACACACATACCTGCTTGCAGCCAAATCTGCTCTAGAATAATGGTCAATTGCTTGGGGGCATGTTTCACAGCACTGCTTTGCGCAGATATTTCTGACGTGGCCAGTTCCATTCGGGAAGCAGCAATCGATGGGACACGCAGAGAACCTGGAGGAAAAATTAGGAATTTTGTCATGAGTATTTATTTTTAAACAGCAACAAAGAGAATTTGAAATTCGATAACCTCCCCAACCTAAACAACAAAGAACATTTGACCCTGTCATTTTGGGTCAAACCAAAAGCTTACATTGCCAGATTTGAAGAAACTCGGAAGGGAAACAGATGAGGAAAGCTAATTGCTCTGACTTCGCTTATCTTTTCAGAGAAATATAGTCATTCCATGACTTTAATTCTTTCAAAAATAATTCCGTGGCCCGTGCCTTCAAACTCTACTTAGACATCGCCTTTTGCATACAGTTCATCCTGAGCTTCTTTTCATGGCTAGTCACCCAGGATCCTACAGTCCCCTGGTAAGTCAGTAACCTACTGTTAGGGTTCAGCTCCTGGATTTTTGAACTTGTATTCATGGTCTGAATCCCCTCCTTGTCTCCCAATGGCCACAGCGAGACGCATTATTTAGGTGTGGTCAAACCACAATACTACCGAAACCGATGAAGCTATGGGCTAACAAGTCCCCAATTCTTAATGAAATTAATATCCTAGGGTCTTAAAAATGGTAGCTAATGTGCCAGTAGATGCAGTGGTGTTAATTTTCCAAAATTTGGTAAATTCTGGAAAGGTAACAATTGGGTAAAAGTCAGCATAGCCTTGCAAAAGACAAATTATGTTTAATCAAATTATTGGAGTTCTTTGAAGGAAGAATATTCTGCAGACAAAGGGGGTTGGTTGAAAAACTGCACTTATATTTCCTGAAGACATTTGACAAGGAACCACATAAAAGGTTACTGCACAAAGTACAGCTCATGGTCTGGGGAGGAACAAACTGGCATGGATAGAGGATTGACTGAGTGGCAGAAAACAGATAGCATTATAAGGGTCTTCCTCTGATTGACAAGATGTGATAATTAGGGTCCCACATGATCTTGTCGTGGGCCTCAACTTCTTACAATTTATCCCAAGGTCATAGACGAAGGGTGCAAAGGCATGGTTAGCTATATTTGCAGACGGCACAAGGAAAGGCAGGAAAGTATGCTGTGAAGAGGATATAAGGTGGTGATGGACTGATATGGATAGTTTGAGACAGTGGGCAAAAATATGGCAAATGGTTTATTATGTGTGAAAATGTGAAATTGTCCATTTTGCAGGAGGAATAAAAAAGTGCAGTATATTCCCTAAAAGGAGAGCAACTACGGACTTCTGAGGTGTAGAGGGATCTAGATGTTCTAGAGTATGAGTCACGAGAGTTTAGTACACAGGAATAGCAAATAATTAAGGCAGGTAATGAAATATTATCCTTTATTATGAGAAGAACTGAACATAAAATAAAGATGTTATGCTTCAGGAGAAGCGATGGCCTAGTGGTATTATCACTGGACTGTTAATCCAGAAACCCAGATAATGTTCTGGGGACCCGGGTTCAAATCCCGGCATGGCAGATGGTGGAATTTGAACAATGGGGAAAAATACATACACATTATAACCAGGGTGTTGCATGGATGAAATGTTGGGTTATTCTTTAAAGTTGTGCAATCATCTTTGGAACAGAAAATTTAAGAGAAGATGTGACAATATCTGGAATTCAGAGTCTAATGATGACCATGAATCCATTTTCAATTGTCAGAAAAACCCATCTGGTTCACTGATGTCCTTTAGGGAAGGAAACTGCCATCCTTACCTGGTCTGGCCTACATGCGACTCCAGACCCACAGCAATTTGGTTGACTCTTAAGTGCCCTCTGGGCAATTAGGGATGGGCAATAAATGCTGCCTAGCCAGCGATGCCCTCATCCCGTGAATGAATAAAAAAAAGTTAAACCGGGCATTGGAAAGACCACAGCTTGAATTTTGTGGGCAGATTTAGTCTCCTTATTTAAGGGATGGTGTAAATGTATTGAATGTGTTTTGGAGGAAGTTTACTGGATTCATACCAGGTATAAGCAGGTTGTTTTATGAGGGAAGGTTGAATGGTATAGGTTTATTTTCACTGGAGTGCAGAAGAATGTGGGTTGATTTCAGTGTATAAAAATCTTGAATTGTCTTGACAAAGTGGCTGTGGGTGAGTCCAAACCTAAGGGATACTTCTAAAATTGGCGGGGGGGGGGGGGCGGGTTTGCTGTTTAAGGTAGAAATGGGAAAATTTTATTTTCCTCAGAGGTTTGTGCAATTTTGGAACTCTTCACCTTGGAAGGATCTGGAGGCAAGGTTATTGAATATGTTTAAAGCAGAAGTACGTTGATTCTGTTGCCTAACAAAAATCTAATGTTATTGGGCATGGATGGTAATGTAGAATTCAAAACACAGCGTCTTATTGAATAGTGGAGCAGCGTTAAGAGGTCACATAACCTATATCTGCTCCTAATTTGTAAATTTGGATAGCTTCCTCTGACATTAACCCTATTCTTCTGACTAAATTATTCAGCATTCTATTTGCTTCATAATTGTTGTTTCAGTGATTAGACATTTGCAGACTGAATTAATTAAAATCCTTAAAAAAAATCTGTTTTATTCTTAGAGGTAAAAAAAATCAGATTCTCTCACTTCAGAAATTGTAATTGACTCAGCTTCAGGAGTAAGTTGTAATGTACCTCACATTCTAATAACTCTTCACAAGATTTAAGTTCTAATTGTTCCCCTTAAGATTTGAATATTTTTAAGATCTCTACCCTGTGGCACTAATTCACTAATCTGCAGAGAAACCTTTCATCATCTGGCCTTGATAATTCTGAAAATTTCTATTAAATCTTCTCTTAAATTTTCTGTTCCAAAGATGATTGCACAACTAAGAATAACCCAACATTTCATCCATGCAACACCCTAGTTATAATGTGTATGTTTTTTCCCCCATTGTTCCAATATCCTATCTGAAAAGAAGTGGCCAAAACAGTATATGATTGATGAATCATCATCACTTTGTTTTTGTATTTAATTTTTTGCAATATCAAATGCACAGTTTTGTTTTATTTATGTCAGGGACCTACTGGAGTATAGTGCTGATTATATGTTAGAGTAGGGAGGAAGTCACTCTTCCAGAACTATTTATACAATGTGCTTATGTATTCCTATTATTCATGACCAGTTCCTATTAGTTCCAATAAATTACCACGAAAATATCTAAACAATAACTCTTTGACTGAATTTGGTGAGTTCACACACATGCAATGGCCTGGGGTTTTGTTTCCAAGGCAGGTATACAGAGCCAGGAGATACCCCAGCCTTGGGGAAAAAAATGCCCCATATGGTGGGATAGAATAAAGCACACTGAATTTAGCCTGGAGACAATCAAAAGAGGCTCTCAAATGTTAAGGCGGGCTGTTAAAAATGCCTACCTCAGTTCTCTCCAGCTTGGTCCAGTATTTGGATTTAGTGACACTGAAAGAACAGCAATGCAGTTCCCAGTCAGAATGGTGTGACAGGAATGAGTTTGCTATTGTTGTTTCCGGTGCCTGGGTCAATGCCTGATGGTCCGTCCAGTTTCACTCTTTTTTTAAGACTTTTTAGCAATTTAATACAACTGAGTGACTTGCTTGGCCACTTCAGAGAGCAGTTCAAAGTCAATCACATTATTGTGGGTTTCGAGTCACGTGCAGACCCAGCCAGGTAAAGACAACTGAATTCCTCCCCTAAACGACATTAGGGAACCAGATTTTTTCTGTTGTTTACATCAATTTAATGGTTTCATGGTCATTGTTAAACTATTTTAATTCCACATCTTTTTTAAATTTCAAATGCCCCCACGTTGAGATTCGAATCTAGGTCCCCAGCATTACCTAAGTCTCTGGATTACTAGCCCAGCAACAATATCACTATGCCAACACAACTCCTCTTCTTCTTTTAAATGGCATTTACTTTAACACAAATGAGAACTAAAGCAAATTAAGCATGAATTAACAGACAATGAAATATTTCAAAATATTGGCAGAAAAAAACTTTAATTTTAAATAATGCATATTCTACTCAATCATAAACACTAGCATCACTCGCCGCACAAAACATACGCAGTCTCAGCCTTTCCAGCTCAATCACATTCCAGACACATTCATTGTCAGGCATAGTCCATCAGAGGTCCCCAGTTACAATTAGCACTGACAAGCCGCATGTTAATGAATGCTCTTCCCCATGAATCACATTGGTTCTGATCACGTAGCTTTCCAGAATTCCTTTTCAACTGATCAGCCAAGAATACGCTGTTCATGATTTGGTCCTCTGATTCAAACCCTGAACCGCTTCCCAAGCCTGTGCTGTTTGCACCACTTTATGGGATCCAGTCCCTTTTAGTGCATTCATGTACTACTCCTCAAAGTTTTTCTTGAATTCTGTTTTCCTTCTTACTGTCAAGCAGAAAACTGACCTTTTTATAGAGAGCTTGTGTGGTTTTCTTCACATAAATGCCGTGTTCCCCTTTCTGCGCTGTTAACTTTCTCTTTATATCTACATCTATGTACTAACTGTTTTCTGCCTGTAGCTCATCTTTGTTCTTCCATCAGTAGCTTCTTTGTCTGTATACTGTGTACAGTGCTATGACTTTTGTCTTAACTTGATATTGGATCCAGGTCAAGGGTAACAGGGATCAATATTTCTCATTATATGACAAATTTGAAATTGACCCCTTTAAAACCGATGTAAGCTCTTAACATTTCTTTTCAGATATTCTTAAAACAATTAAAGATTCCAAAGATATTAAAGAAATTTTTGAGATTTATGTTTTTGTCACATGTACTAAGTATAGGAATCCATAAATACAGCAAAAAGTGCACAAAGTCGCCATTTACTGGCGCCCACTTGGTTACAAAACCCAAAATTAAAAGATTTAACATAGCCAAAAGATAAGCAGGACAAAAAAAAGTCCAGATCTCAAGAGTCTCATGTCCCATCTCCACAATGGTGCAGGTGCTGCTCCAATTGCTAGGCCACCCAGAAGGCTGCCACCACCACCATGCGAAAGGCCCACACTCACAGCCGTCATCGCCTCACCGGCCCTGCTCTCGCCGCCGTCACCCCCTCATCCGGCCCCGCTCTCGCCGCTCTCGCCCCATCACCGGCCCCGCTCTCGCCGCCCACTGCTACCCCCTCACCAGCCCCACTCTCGCCACCCACTGCTGCCCCCTCACCGGTCCCGCTCTCGCCGCCCACTGCTGCCCCCTCACCGGCCCCGCTCTCGCCGCCCACTGCTGCCCCCTCACTGGCCCCACTCTCACTGCCGAACTGGCCGACTCTCCACCCACCACCGTTGCTCCGGTCCTCGTTTGATCTACCGTTGCTGCAGGACACAGCCCGCGTGCTCAGTGAGTGGGGTGGATTCTACAGGGTATCTGCCCAACAAATCCGTGTACAAAAAGGTCAAAGGGGAGGTTCTCTCACAATCTTGATGGTTGCCATGTGGTAATTTAGGTTTGGGAGCAAGATGAATTACTTTAGGCTGGATTTCCACCCCTTTCTTAGCAGGAAGTCCTGCCTACGGAGTTGCTGACCAATTAGATGGTGGTGTTACTAGAGCAGACCATTGTGAAGAAGCCTAAATAAACATGTGATCAGGGGTCCCCCTGAGCAGAGTGAGGGTGGATAGAAGACAAGTTTGAAGAATCTAGGGGTAGGTGTGAGAATTAATTTAGAGGGCAGGCCCTGATGTGGCCAGGAACCCCACAAAGGAGTTTCCCTCGTCTTGCCTGATATCCTATTTTCTGACAACATGATAAACAGATTCTCCGTTAATTTCTAACCTTGTTTTTTAAATCACAGATAGTTTTACCAAATCACAAACGTATCAAATAAATTCCTGTCTGTTTGCTATGGTGTAAATTTCAAACCAACTGATTTCATTTAATATATAGAACAGATGGTCAGACATGAACACAGTCTTGAATGATCTCAACATGCTTTTACAGATGAGAGAAACCTGGCATGGGAATCTCTCATTAGCATGGCCATCTGTTAAGACACAAGAAATTTTGTATCTCCTATCCATTCGTATTACAGGTGAACAGAGTACACAAGTAAAGTTACCACAAACAATAAGAAACAATGATGTCACAGCGGTCCAATAGCCTGACATGTACGTGATATTGTGGGTGGAAGAGAACCAAAAGATAATCCGCAGGGCTTTAAAAGTACGCCGTACAGGATTGCAAAGAAACTATCACAATTTATAATAAACTATTGAGTTAATCGCTCTGATAGAATTCAATGTTTCAGTTTTGCTAACATTGAAGCACATTGCAAGAAGTGCAGTTTTGGCCCACTCACGTACTTACACTGAAGTTTCAGCTGGGTAAATTACAGCATGCCCATCTTTATTTCCTGTTCTGATTCTGATCCAAAATTGTACTTGTACTACAGCACTTATTAAATTACTCTTGACTATATAGTTCTTCTCCCTCATAATAATCAGCACTACTTTATTTTCTATACATCTGACCTTCCCAACTGCAGCCTTTCTTACTGGAGTCTCTGAGTTCTTGAGCTCAATTGTGCAACATGTGAATTTTTTCCCTTTTGCTCAAATGATTATTCTGATCATGAGTGTTTAGACCAAATCTGCCAAATCTTCAGATGGCATTACTAAAAAACCCAGAGTCCACAGGCTAGTGGCTTTGCAGCCTGTTCCACTGCTTTAATATTATGGTTCTTCCGTGAAGTAGATTGTAAGAAATGGCCAAAGATCAACAGAGAACTCTTATTCCTAGCCATTAATCAAATCACCAGCGTTTGCTCAGATGGGACAACTGACTGGAATTCAAAGACTTCTTCTCCCCAGAAGTTTGTGAGTTGCAGAGAAAGAAAGAGCAAAAAAGTGAAAAGGGCCACAACAAAAGGGGCAAGGTGAATGGGAAGACTTATCAAGATGGGTAACTCGAGTTGGACATGTGTCAGTAAAATGTACTTCAACATTTGTAAGTGTTGATCCGAGGGATGGCAGGTTGGGGGCAAGGCACTGGATCAATTTGGACCCAGTGACCCTGAAGGGAGAATGCACAACAATATGACCACTGCTGGTCTTCGTGCAGAATTTGGAACTGACACCTTTTACATCCAGAGTGGGGTCAATTAAAGGTTGTGAGATTATCCATCTTGTTCGTTATCTACCCAAGTATCATTATCCGACTCATCCAAGATGACCCATCATCCAACGTCAGCATCTATTACAATATCAATGGGAAGTTCTTCACCCTGTGTCACACTGGGGCAAAAACAAAACTGTGGTTGGTTCGCTCATATGCAGACATTTCATTACTCTGCTGGGTAACATTATCAGTGCAGCCTCTGATGAAGCATTTTTCTGCTTGTTATTTAAACTCTGGGGTCTTGTAACAAGTGGGAAAACACAACAGCGCTTCATCGGAGGCTGCACTGATAATGTTACCCAGCAGAGTAATGAAATGTCTGCATATGAGCGAACCAACCACAGTTTTGTTTTTGCCCCAGTGTGACACAGGGTGAAGAACTTCCCATTGATATTGTAATAGATGCTGACGTTGGATGATGGGTAACCTTTGCTTTGGCTATTCTTGAAACAGTGGCCAATGGAGAGCTGATAGAAGAGAACTTGCCGATGGAGGCAGTTTTCAGGCATCAAGTGGCAATGGCCCATCCATCAGAGTTGGTTCTCGGCCATGTCGATCCAGTGGCCTTCCCATTTGATATCCAGGGTTTCACAATGGCACTGCTGATGGGAGCTTTGAAAGACTTTAATGTGACATCCAGATAGACCAGAGTTTCGCTGCAGCAGAAGAGGGTGGTCAGCATAACCAAAGCACAGAGGCATTGGCCCTACTGACTGGGAGGAGAAGGCTATCCACCGCTTGGCATGTCGCCTTTGGACCCATCAAGGCTCAAGTCACTGTGAGGCTCAGCGACTTGACCATGAGTTGGAATAGCAGCAGAAGGTGCTAACCCAGAACAGTAAATTCCATTTCCCCATGTAAAACCCAATCCCCCAGTGCAGAAAAAAACAACGTGTGGACACCCAAAATTAGGCTCCTCAATCATGTGAAGAAAGATCTAGCCTGACATGCATCATCCTTGATGTTGAGGCAATGTCGATGATGAACAATCTGGTAGTTGGTTGTTTACCTGCTATTTCTTTCAGCTGTAGGAGGATAGAAGCTCCAAACAGAATCAAAGAGGGGACAAACTGAAGAAAGTAAGTGTAGCTCCTAATAGAAAAGTTAATAAGCTTTGAAGCACAAACATAACAATTTGACACAATAATTTGATAATTCAATGGTCCAAACAAACCCAAGTATTAATGTGCACTGTAATACAGTAAATAACACACATAATATCTTGTAAAATGCGGTGTCTGAACCAAATTCGTGTAAATAGTACCTTGTGAAATTGTATCACATGCTTCAATGTATAGTATCCGGCACAATTTGCCTTTTTCCACTTCAATGCATGCGCCAAAAGTGCACTTCCTGTATTATGTCCTAATGTTTTCATTACAGAAACATCTGGCTGGACATTGGAGTAAAAATGGTAACAATATCAGCCCTCACAACTAAGAAAAAGGTGAATCAGACAGCAACTTCTAATGGCTGGCTGCAAATGGAAGTTGCAGTCTGATTAGCCCTACTCTTCCAGAAATTTTGCTGTCCCAGTAATCACACCAACAGAATCGCCATAAAACACGTGAAATGTGAGCCTGTTGCTGTAGATCCATGTTAGCTACACAACAAATGCAAGAGGAAAGATTAGGGCTTGTCCATTGCCGTGTAGGCATATGTTAATGGCACAATAAATTTTTGTTGTCGCTGAACAAATAGTTCTAGGATTGAAGATTAATTTTTACAAATGTGACGTGTTTTTTGAACTTTTAAACTTTTTCTTTTACCTCTCATGATTTCTGTTGGAAATGAGTGACAACCCCTACATTCAAACACCTTTCAAAATTCACCACACGGAATTACATATCTGGAACAAGCTCTTGATTGAGACACCAAGGCTTATTGTAACCTACAAATCTGTAACACAATGGGACCAAATGTACTCAGGCTGCAAGATTTTGCTTTTTAATTAAGTTCTTGATTCTAATATCACAAAGCTGGAAATTGGGCTATTTAAATTAAACAAAGAGAAGCTCTCAGACATTCTTTCATTCTTAGTAGGATTCACTCTTATTTTACTTTATTAAGCCTATTTAAATCACTTTATTCAACAACAAATGTTAAAGCAATGTCACTTAGCTTCATATCCACTGTATGTACAAATACCTAGCTGAAGTATATTATGAAAGCTTTCAAATGTCTTTCAAATATATAATAAAGAATTAATTATAAAATCTCTCCACCTCCTTACCTGCATCAGCCTCATGAAAATCAGGAAAAGTGAGGTGAACAGTGCTTCGTTTATCAGTTGCTACACCCTCAGCTGTACTGCTTCGAACAGTGCTCCGTTTCTCAGTTGTACTGCTTTCCTTGTCACAATCACTGTGAAAAAAGGCGAACAGATTTAATCACAGGGTAATAATGGAAGTATTTTCTTTGTTTTTAACCCTTGTCTTTCTAAGGCTGATTGCTGTTTTTCCTGATAGCTCCTAGTATCTTATCCAAGGGGCCATTCTTCATGTGAGCACACTGGATTCAAATCTGGTGGAGGGAGAGAGGGCAGCACAGTGGTTAGCACTGCTGCCTCACAGCGCCAGGGACCCAGGTTCGATTCCACCCTCGGGCGACTGTCTGTGTGGAGTTTGCACATTCTCCCCATGTCTGCCTGGGTTTGCTCCGGTTTCCTCCCACAGTCCAAAGATGTGCAGACTAGGTGGATTGGCCATGCTAAATTGCCCACAGCATTTGGGGATGTGCAGCTTAGGTGGGCTACAGGGGGATGGGTTGGTGTGGACTCATTGGGCCGAAGGGCCTGTTTCCACACTGCAGGGATTCTATTAAAAAAAAAGGCACAAATAACCTTGCACCATATCTATTTATGTTCACCTGCCAGCCGGATTTACTGGATAGCAACAGTTCACAATACTGCTTGCTAACTTTGTGCCTCCCTAATGAGTTCAATATTGCCTACTCCTGAGCAAGACAATATCTGCTGAATGAAAGAAAGCTGGGATTGAACAGGAGGTTCACATACTATGAATGCCATGTAGAGCAGTTACTTGCCAAACCACCATGAAGCCAATTAACTCTAATTCAATAACTTTATTCAGTTACTGCTCAAATGTTATTTCCTACTTCCAAGTGGTTGCGTTGTTAATAACATGATCTATAAAGTGGGGAACAATACAACATACATTTTTAAAGCTAATAAAGACAACATGATGTACTTACACCTAATTGATATAAATACTGAGGCTACAAGAGCAGGTCAGAGGCTGGAAATTCTACAACAAATAAATCACCTCTAACTCCCCAGAGCCTGTTCATTATCGACAAGGGACAAGTCAGGAATGTCATGGAAATTCTTCCCTAGATAAATGCAGCTCCAACTAGCCTCAAGAAGCTCAATACCATCTGATGATCTAATATTCTTTAGGGAAGGAAATTTGCTGTTCCTACCAGTCTGGCTTAGTTGTAACTCAGGCCCACAACAATGCAGTTGACTCCTAACTGCACCCTGAAATGGCCTAGCCAGCCAGACAATTGAAGGGAAATTAGGGGTGCGCAACGCCTTTGCCAATGATGCCCACTTCTTATCAAAGAGGAAAGAACTCATCAAAGACAAAGCAGCCAGCTTGATTGGTACCCATTTACCACATTCAACAACCACTCCCTACATCACCGATGCACAGTAGCAACCATGTGTACTATTTACAAGATGCACTGCAGCAAATCGCCAAAACTGTTCTGGCAGCATCTTTCAAACACACAACTTCTACCATCTAGAAGCACAATGGTAGCAGATGTATGACAGTAACACCAACCTGCAGGCTTACTCCAAGCCACACATCCTTCTGCTTGGAACTAGATCAATGTAACCACACTGTCGCTGCGTCAAAATCCTGAAACTTCCTTCCCAACAGCACATTTATCTACATAACTCTCCCACCAAATGGACAACCACCGACCACTTCATGTCAGGCAGCCACTGCTTAGTAAAGTGCTTGAGTGGAGGCATACAGCCTAGAACCCATGCTCAACAACTGGATAGAATCCAGTACATCAGGGAAAACAAACAAAAGGAAAGCAGATGCCAACTCCTTGAATGGTAAGATGAAATGTCACCATGCACCGCCCTACAAGAGACAAGACCCGTGCAGGCAAACTGCAGATAGAAAAACATTCCACATTCATCTGGCAGGCAAAATATCAGACTTTGAATTGCTCACTTGAGTTTGCATTTGAAGCATCTGAACCTTACTGAGCCAATCACAACCAAGTTGAGCTGGTCACATAACCAGAATACCTAATGCATGCTTATCAAAGCAAATCTTCTTTGCAGAGCATGAGTCTGGTATCCATTCTCGTGGCAAAGAGAGGACTATGTGTACATTCAGAGGATTCATTTGTGAGTTCTGATGTTGACTTCCCATGAAGCTCACCCAGGATTGCTTTACACAATGAAATCAAGTAGAAAATACTGTCATTTCCTTCAAAACTAAGTGCACATCAGTGACAAAGAGAAAACACAAGGAGAGGAAATTCTGCTACTCAGTCCCATTTGCAGCAGAAACTTTCAGGCACAGATCAATCACAGCAGTCACCTGTCTACTCTCGAACACTCACCAAATATCCTGCATGACATACATGGTCACCCTTCACCTCAAAGGTCAAACAAGTGGCAAAAGATAGTTCTGTATCAAGTTATATCTTCAGAGAATTTACAGGCATAGTCATAGTGGTCTGGAGTACAGAAAAATGCCCTGTGGCCCATTGAGTCTGCACCAGTTAAAAAAAAACAACCCATCTAACTATTCTAATCCCATTTTCCAGCACCTGGCCCATGGCCTCATACAACTTCCTTTTCCTTTATTCATTCACGGGATGCGGGCATCGCTGGCTCAGCAGCATTTATTGCCCATCCCTAATTGCCCAGACAGCAGTTAAGAGTCAACCACATTACTGGGGGTCTGGAGTCACATGTAGGCCAGACCAGGTGAGGATGGCAGTTTCCTTCGTTAAAGGACGTTAATGAACCAGACGGGTTTTTTCAACAATTGACAATGGATTGACGGTCATCATTAGATTCTTAATTCCAGATATTTTATTGAATTCAAATTCCACCATCTGCTGTGGTGGGATTCGAACCTGGGACCCCAGAACATTATCTGGGTCTCTGGATTAACAGTCCAGTGATAATACCGCTGGGCCATCGCCTCACCACGCTTAGTATTGCAAGTGTACATCTAAATACTTCTTAAATATTTCTGCCTCTACCACCCATTCTGGCAGAGAGTTCCAGATTCCCACTAACCTCTGGGTGAAAACATTTTCCTCACATCACCTCTAAACCTTTGGCTCCTTACTGTAAATCTATGTCCCCTTATCATTAATGCCTCCACCAAGGGTAAATGTTGTGTTCCATCTACCCTATCTATGACCCTCATAATTTCATATTTCTTAGTCATGCTCCCCTTAGTTTCTGCTGCTCCAAGGAAAACAATACCAGTCTGTCCAATTTCTCTTCATCAAAAAACTCTCAAGCCCAGGAAACATCTTGGTAAATCTCCTCTGCACCCTCTCCAGTATAATCACATCCCTCCTGTAATGCGGATTCCGGAACAGCATACAATATTCTAGCTGCAGCCTAAAAAACGTTTCATATTGTTCCAGTATCGCCTCCTTACTCTTAAACTCTATGCCTCAGCTAATAAAGTCAAACATTCCATATGCCTTCTTAATCACTTTATCTACCTTTCTTGCTACCTGAAGGGACTGGTGGATATGAACACCAAGGTCCTCTGATCCTTGGTGCTTCCCAAGGTCCTACTGTTTATCGCTTTGCCTTGTCTGTCCTGTCCAAATGTATCACTTCGCACTTATTCAGATTGAATTTCATTTGGCACTGATCAGCCCATCTAACTAATTAATCTATATCCTCCTGTAATCTCAGGCTATCCTTCTCACTATTTACCACCGCGCCAATTTCATATCATCCATGAACTTACTGATCAATCCTCCCACATTCAACTCTAAATTCTTTATATATACCACAAACAGCAAAGAACCCAACACTGATCCCTGTGGAACTCCAGTGGACACAGGCTTCCAGAAATGCCCCTCAATCATCATCCTCTGCTTCCTGCCACTTGGCCAATTCTGTTATCCAATTTGCCAAATTTCTTTAGATCCTGTGGGCTCCTACCTTCTCTATCAATCCCAAGTGGGACCTTATCAAGAGCTTGCTGAAGTCCAAATAAACTATATCAAATGCATTGTCCTCGTCTATCTACGCACCTGGTTACGTTTTCAAAAAATTCCATCAGGTCGGTCAGACATGACCTCCCTTTAACCAAGCCTATTACTTGACTTTTCTTAATTAAATGCTGCCTCTCTAAGTGCAGATTAATTCTGTCTCAGAATTGCTTCCAATAGTTTCCCCACCATGAAGGTTAGACTGGCTGACCAATAGTTTTCTGTTTCTCTTGCTCCCTACTTGAATAACCGTACTACATTGACTGTCCTCCAGTCCTCTGGCACCTCTGCTGTGGCCAGGGAAGAATTAAAAATTATTGCTAACACCCCTCCTATTTGTTCCCTTGCCTCACTCCACAGTCTGAGAGATATTTTATCTGGCCCTGGAGATTTATCTACTTTTAAGCCTGTCAAACCACTCAGAACCTCCTCTCTATGCTAACTTCTTTATGTATCAAAGTCCTTCTCCCTGACTTCTATATGAACATTCTTCCTCTCATGAGTAAGCACTGACAAAATATTCATATGTCCTCTGGCTCCACGCACTAATTACCACCGTGGTCCTTAATGGGCCTTACACTTTCCCTAGTTGCCTTTTTATCCTTAATGTAATTGCACAATATCTTAGGATTTTCCTTTATTAACTCTGCCATTATTCTTTCATGATCCCAATATGCTCTCCTGATTTTTTTTTTTAAGTATCCCCTTGCACATTCTGCACTCCTCTAAGGCTTCTCCTGTTTTGACCCCCAGAATTTCTCGGTTCTTTTCAAGTTTGCTTTGAGCATCGGCATCAGGATGACAAACGTTATGCTTCAGGATGCTGCCTCACTGACAACTATCAATATTGCAAATGTAATACTGGAGGTTATTGACGATTTCCCTGCTCTATAATCATTAACAATCTATCACTTGGTGCTGAAATCAACTCAAGCCTCATAAAAGCTACAGCTGTTATGCCCAAGCTGAGTACGAGAGTGTGGAACAACAGAAAACTGGCTGAAAACACCAAATTGAGAGTCTACCAAGCCTGAGTGCTCAATGTTCTCATCTACAGGGGTGAGACCTGAACAACATAGGTTAGACAAGAGAAAAAGCTGAACTGTGTTTACTTTCACTGTCTTAGATGTATCCTTGGCACATCTTGGATTCCACAAGCGGAGAAGTTTGAAAGCATATACCTTCGTTAAGATGTCTTAAAAAGGCAGTAACTTTTATACAATAAGCATCTGCTGTCCCTGTTGATATAACATATCAGAAGGAACCGACAAGATGACAGGTAGTGTGATTCACATTTTAAATTTGACAGCAATCCTTTTTATAGAGCCATTGAGTCATACAGCATGGAAACAGACACTTTGGTCCAACTAGCCCACGCCGACCACGTTCCCAAACTAAACTAGGCGCACTTGCCTGTATTTGGCTCATATCTCTCTGAACCTTTACTATTCATGTGCTTATCTAAATGTCTTTTAAATGTTGTAACTGCACCTGCATCTACCACTTCCTTTGAAAGCTCACTCCACACATGAACCACTCTGTGTAAAACAGTCGTCCCTCATGTCCTTTTTAAAACTTTCTCCTCTCACCATAAAAATATGCCTTCTAGTTTTGAACTCCCCGACCCTAAAGAAAAAGACCATTGCAATTCACCTTATCTGCTCCCCTCATAATTTTATAAACCTCTATAAGGTTAGCCCTCAACCTCCTACGCTCCAGTGAAAAATGTCCGAGCCTATCCAGTTTCTCTTAATGGCTCTAACCCTCCCATTCCCAGCAACATCCTGGTAAATCTTTTGGGAGTAAAAGTGGAGCTGGAAAAGCACAGCAGGTCAGACAGCATCCGAGGAGCAGGAAAATCAATGCTACGGGCCATAATGTTAACTTCCCTGCTCCTCGGATGCTGTCTGACCTGCTGTGTTTTTCCAGCTCCACATTTATTGACTCTAGCTTCCAGCATCTGCAGTCCTTACTGTCTCCAAATCTTTTGCAAACCCTCTCCAATTTAATGATATTCTTCCTATAGCAGGGTGACCAGAACTGCACATAGTACTCCAGAAAGGGCCTAACCAATATCCTTTACAACCTCAACATGATGTCCTGACTCCTATACTCAAAGGTCTGAGCAATGAAGGCAAGCGTGCTAAATACTTTCTTAACAAACTGACCGCTCATGCAAATTTCAAAGAATTATGTACCTAAACCCCTAGGTCTCTCCGTTCTTCAACACCATCCAGGGGCCTACATTAATTATATAAGTCCTGCCCTTGTTTGTTTTCCCAAAATGCAATACCTCGCACTTATCCAAATTTAACATACACCTGCCACTCCTCAGCCCAATGACCCAACTGTTCACGATCTTTTTGTAATCTTAGAAAACCTTTGCTGTCATCCGCAAACTTACTAACCATGCCTCCTATATTCTCATCCAAACCATGCATATAAACGGCAAACTAAAGTGGACCCAGTACCAATCCCTGTGGAACACCAGTGGTCACAGGCCTCCAACCTGCCGCCACCACCCTCTGTCTCCTGCTGTTAAGCCAATCGTGTATCCAATTGGCAAACTCAACCTGAATCCCATGTAAACTGACTTTACTAATTAGAATAGAATATAGACTAGCTCGTCACGTGCATTCAATATAAAATACAGTGAAAAGTGTGTACCGTCACCGTACATAGATGCCATTCACATTAACTTAGAATAAAAAAAAACAGAGAGAGTCTAACTTTTCCTTCTCTGCTCCTACAGCATGCCGCCGAGAGGGTCCTGCTCTGGGATTCCCAGCCCACACCCTGCCACCGCCAGGGTGCCCCTCCACACGGAAGCCAGTGTCATGCTCCAGGCTCCACAGGCCGACCGACTGATTAACTGTCGCAAGGGGCATCCTCTGAAGATGCCGCTGCTGCTCTGGAGCCCATTGAAGCTGCCTCCTGCCGAAGAGCTCTCTTCATTGCGTTAGTTTGAAAAAAAAAAGGGACAGAAGGAAAAAGAGAAAGAACAAAAATGCAGACGAAGAGTACAAGCCCGGGCACAGAAGCCCGTATGCTGCCTACTCTGCTGCCGCCATCTTACGTGTGAAAGTTTGCTCTATCATGTCAAAGGCTTCACTAAAGTCCATGTAAACAATGTCTACTGCTCTGCCCTCATCAATCTTTTTGGCTACTTCCTCAAAAAACTCCATCAAGTTTGTGAGACACGATTTTCCTCGCACAAAACCACGCTGACTATCCCTAATCAGTCTTTGTCTCTCCGAATGCATGTAAATGCTATCTTTCAGAATCACCTCCAACAGCTTACCCACCACTGACGTCAAGCTCACTGGTCTATAGTCCTGGCTTTTCCTTACCACCTTGGGTGGTAAGTGTATTTAAGACAGAGATAGATAGATTCTTGAGGGAATCAAGTGTTATGGGGAGAAGGCAAGAGAACACAGTCGAGAAAATATCAGCCGTGATCGGCTGCTGGAGCAAACTTGATGGGCCGAGTGGCCTAATTCTGCTCCTACATTTTACGGTCTTACAGGCACTTACAAATAGAAAATAGATTAACATTATAGTGCAGGCCTGTAACAAAAACATTGCATTTTCATCTATGATATTTTATTTCTTTTTCCCCTCTTGTTAAAGTAAACCTCGTGTTCTTAAAGAAATACCCGTTGTGTTATTAATACAAATCATTCCATGAAGGGAGATTCAATATTACCTTGGCTAAGTGCACAAATGTGCACACATCAAGATCCTACAAACAATAGTAATCTTTGAAAAGCTTATTGACTGGAAAAGCTCACTTGCTTTTTCTCCAAATACACTGCCTGATCTGCAGAGTTCTTTTTTTGCAGTATTTTCCACTTTCATTTCAGATTTCCAGCGTTGAAAGTGATTTGTTTTTCACATGTTAAGTACGTAGCTGGATTGCCTGTGTCATTTAAGTACCAGATTGAATGGCTGCTGAACGACATACTCAATTTCACTGCATATTAGGAGAATGCCTCATGTACAAAGTATTATAATACATCCACAAACCCTGTTACAATCTAGTATTTGATTAAAACTGATTTTGCTTCAAAGGACACTAGATGTTTGCCTTTAATGTGAAGCATTAGTAACAAAACCTACCTGAACTGTGCATTGTGGATTGTCTGCCACATGTTTAACATATGTTTGCAGGTTTCAAGTGCTTCCTCTGGTCCTGTGTGAACTGCTTCAAGTTTGACTTTAGTGAAAAATAAACTATAGAGACACAAAGAGAGAAATTGAAAGAAAAATATGAATTATTCAAATAGAATGCATCATCAGCAAACACATTCTTGTACCCAACCAAAGTCTGGGAGAACAGAAAATACTGGAGACACCTTTTTCCTTTCAAAGTGCCATACAACTTAAATTATATTCAAGCAGAAACAGATGATGCAGTGAATTAGGTGCTGTCTGTTTATCTATCAGAACGGAGTTCAAATCCTGCTCAAGCTAATGTAATGAAAGTCCCCTCTTTCATTTGCAAAGTGACTGGACAGGCATGAGTTTACAGCTTAAAGTAATTAGCATCACACACAGCCATATAGATTCAGATTATTGAACAATATCCCAAATTTTACCCTAACAAAGACGAGTAACACTTGGTTGAGATTGCAGTAATTCCATTGTAAAGTGTAATAACAGTCCACGGAAATAACTCAAAACACATGTATACAATAAATATCTCATTAAAAAAAGTATCACAACAGATATCAGGTCAAGAAAATGTCAAAACATTTTAATCTGTACATTATAAAAGGAAAACATTTTTTCACAAGACTGGAATACCCATTCAGTACAGTACACGATCAAAAATTTGGCTAGTTCAGTCTAAAAGAAGAAACTCTAACAGCAATTTAAGAATGAACCATACTTTCAGCGACAAATATTTTACAAATATCGCTTAATAATTAGTGATATGCTCATACGGACTCATTTGCTGAAAAGACACAAAAACTGTGCAAAACACCAGCTTTGTACCATGTAAGACTATGTTACAAATGGAACACATTGGATTTTGATGAGAGGTGAGGGATCAGTTAAAGACTGTATACAACTTGAACAGTCACATGTGGCTGACCCACTTATGCCTGGTCAGCAAAACAAAACCACAAAGCCAACTGGACAAATGCCTGTTGACTCCAGCTGTCAAGCAGAGGATTGCTGAATTGGCTGCAACTGAGTAGAACTGGCTCCAAATCAATAGAATATAATCTCTAGTGCAAAGATGCTCTTCAATTCGGAGCCAAAACTGATCCTTCAAATACCTGTGCACATCAAGAAGGAATCAAGTATCTAAACTCTTACCACCACAGCAAAAAGATGCGACCCTACCCATAAAAATCCATGGCCCAACTACCTTTAAAATTATGGCTGACTGTGCACATCCTAACATTATATCTAACGTAATTTAAGGTTAGATACAATGCCCAAACAATTCCCTCCCATATCAGAACACAGCATGCACTGTTTTACATTTAACATACTCATTTCCCCATGACACTCATTTGTCATGACTACACCTAGAAAAACATGTTAGAAATTCATGTGCACGAACAGCTTTTCAAAAATTAAGCTGCTGGAATCTACAAAACAGTTCTGCATGGCTGGACTAACCTGCATTACATTGCACAGAAGTGGAGGCAACTGTGAAATATATTTACTCTATGTAATTTAGATCCGTCCACGTGTTGTACACAGAGCTTCACAAAGGCATACAATATCCCGTTACATTTCACAGGTGATTTGTAGGTACACACAAGTTACTTAAGTTAAGGTGTGACTATATAAAAATAGAACATTTTTTCAAAATTAACCAGCATGAAACAAAACATTATTAGAATGAACCCCCTCCCCCATATCCTTGCCACATACTATGCAATGAATCTAAAGAATTGACTCCAAGAAAGAGCTGTTACGAGCATAAGAGTAGAAGTAAACCTTTCAGCTCTTTGAGCCTGCTGCATTCTAGACCCCAGTTGATCATCTATCTCAATGCCAAATTCCCATACTATTTCTGCATCTTCTGATGTTATTATTAACTAGAAATCTATCAATCACTCTCTTAATCTTAATGTCTGAACTTCCAGCACCCTGTGGACTAAAGAATTCCCAAGGTCTTGTTCCAAGTGAAGAGGTTCCTCCTCAGTTCTAAATGGTTTGCCTATTCTGAGATTGTGTACCATAGTCCAGGGAAACATCCTTTCTGCATCTACTCTGTCTCTCCTTTTAAGAATTTTGTGTGGACACCATTTTATGTTTTGAAAGGTGCCTGTGCTCATGAACATGCCAATGTGTGCCTAGTAGTCTACTTTTCACTTTTACTGAAAAGAATGTTTCTGGCTTCTGCTTTGTCAACAAACATACTTAAGTCGAGTTGGAGGTAAAAATATGAATAAGAATTGATATATAGAAGGCTATATACAAATAATGGAATGAGGTATGAAGCACTAGGATCTCTGAACTTCTGGGAGCATTAGTGGTATGGCAAGGAAAGGATGGATGTGATATTTATGATCAGGATTTATCTGGGGAATTACAATCAATTTTGTCATGTATAAAGATAAGGAAGAAACATGCAGCATTTCTTTCTCAGGAGACTGGATTCTTTGAGAGGGCCCAGCATATAGAGTTGTCTATGTTTTTCACACAGTTATGCCTCAGAGACTTGCTCAGTCCTCAGTCTTGGCACAATTCAGGAGAGACACAGACATTGCCCAGTTGAACAGGCAGAAAAAAAAAGTGGAAAACGCTGCCTGGTAAATCACTGGTACTTCTTCATGTCAGCCCTTGCATAATTGCCAATAGCCTGTCAGAATTTCATAGTCTCTCTCTCTCTCTCTCAGCTGTAAAGGTCATTTTTAAGTGGTTGAAGGAAAAGTTACAATAAAAAAGGACAGTTCATCACCTATTGATTTCCATGCAGTAAAAAGTTAAAACCTGGTGGCAAATATTTGCTAAATATTTGAATAAAACTAATCAGATTACAATAACACAAGTACAAAGCAAAGAATCTCTCTGGGGCCTTTGTGAGAAATGTGGTAGAATCGCATGAGGAGTCCAGCGAGGAACCATCTAAATTCTGCTGCATCTTTTAATTAATTTGCAGGCTTCAAGGCAAGATTCTCACTTAGCTGCAACAAGTTCCCTATGAAAGGGACTTTTGCTTGTTAATGACCTTATTAACTGCAGCCCAACTCATTAACATACAGTTTCCTTTCCTACCATCCATCACAAGAAAACTAGATCCCAGGAATTCTTGGCATAGAAGTTAGAGTGGGCACCTAGTAACTTTAGCCCACTGCTAGCTGTGAAAAGCCTTCATATTGGTCACCATGCAACAGCAACTTAGGGCATCATCCATTCTCTTTGACAAAGGCAAGTGAATCTTCCTCAGCTTAAACGTCCAAGGATTGGAAGGGTCAGGCAGGGTAGGGGTAGAAGTCGAGGGCCCAGCTATCTCTCAAGTATCCTTACAGGAGGCTTCCAAGATGGCTGTGCTTCCTCTACTGGCTGTGCTTCCTCTACTGGCTGGATATCTCTTGGTACCTCTTTGTGAGATAGGGGAACTTTGCCCTGAGCATCTCATTCTCCATTTCCCCTGTCACCCTGCCTTTGATCAGGAGGACCAATGGTTGGGGTAATAGAATGAAGATTTGTGCATGTATCCAGCAGGTCGAGAGGGCACTGGACCTAGCTCTCTATGGCAACCATGGAGGCAGCCAGGCAACTGCATGTTTGAGGTGTAGCTGTGCTCCTGTTGCCTCTGGGCTATGCAGGTTATTGCCTCCCACAGACCTGCCCACTGCTCCGGTTTCTCCCTGTATATTCTGACAAGTCCCTGACTGCCAACATCACAAGTTCCCGTTCTGCCTGGAGCTCAGCAGGGGCCTGGTGTGCTACAGTTCTCAGAGAACCAGCAGCCTGGGGCTTTTCTTCCTTGGCCAGCTGAGGAGCTGTCGCAGGGGGGTCCTCACCAGTTTGTACTCCCAAATATTCCCAACACGGAGTCAGTATCAGAGCCAGCTGAAGGAGGCTGCCTTGCCGATGCTTCCTTTGAGGCCTTTGAACACATTCCCTTTGAGGTTGAGAAGGAATGGAGCAGCCTGTTTCTCCGCAGGGGCAGTGGACATCCACTGAAGTCACGGGAGAGAGAAAGCAAAGCAGGCAATTGTTAGAAACAGTGTATCAATGACATTGATAACAGTGTTAATGTGTGAGTTGCAGGGACATGAGAACTGGTCCTTACTCAGTTCGATGAACATGCATGTCTCAGCATTCCAGCAGATGCCGTTCTGGTCTTCCTCAAGGAATAGGATTGTCCCCTCGTCGTGGATGAGCAGCCTGATGTCAGGCACCCCTCTGCTCATCCTGACTCTTTTCAACCTGTTATGGGCTGTCTTCTCCTTTAATAGGAGAGGGAGGGACTGAGTGAGTGAGTGAGTGAGCTGAAAGTGGGTGGCATAGCTGTCAGTGCCGGTGCAGGTAGTGAAATGTCCCAGGCAGGTGAATAGGCAGCATAGATACCATGGAGGGTTAGTGGTGTAGGAGGAATGAGAGACAGTGAGGGAAGATATTGCGTGCAATCCTGAGAATGGTAGGGAATGAGCCTAGGTGGAAGGTTGGTTCAGGAGCTGAGAAAGAGTGTGTGTACCAGGTAGCAGAGAGAATGTGGTACTTAATTTGGTGCAGCACAGAAGGTCAATGACTTTCTTGCAGCACTGCTGACAGTTCCTCTAGACGGTAGATACTATACTGACCTGGATGATGACCTCAGACCAGGCTTCCAGGGGCCAACGGACTTCCCAGCCAGCTCTCCAAGAAAAGGACAGCTCTTCTCTGGATCACCCTGCCCATCCAGACCTCCAGGTCTCGGTCAGAGAACTGTGGTACCAGTTTTCCCTTCTCCAGCATTGAAATTCCTGTCCTTCAATGGGCAGGGCAGCTTCAGAATGCCAATGCTCGTCCAAATACATGCCAGTCTTTCAATGGATATTCATTGAGTGGAGTGTACTTGCAGGAACAGCAGGTGGTCAGACGGGGCTAGAATCAGGCAAAAGGGGCGCAGTAGGTACTTAATGAGGTGAATTTGCTAAGATGTGGCGAGAAATCCCACCAGGCTTCACAGAGAGATACCTTTCATAAAACTCACCAGACTGACACTTAGCCAAGAAAAAGTAAGACGCAGCCCAATATTACAGTAAGTACCATTCTGT